AAAATTAAATTATATTTTATTGCATACTATTTATACGATTTTATAGGCCATCAAAAACATGAGGGTTGAATGAAATCCATTTTTTATATTCGCATAATTTTGGCCTTCTTTAGGACTTTTGTTGTTATTCCTAAAGAATTCAAGAATTTGATGGTTTGTAAGGCATGTATGGCTGAGCAGTAAAATTTAGGCATTACTTGGAATCAAGATCTGGAATAAAAAGTCGTTTTTGAAAAATTTTGACTCATTTTCTATATATAAAAAAAAGCAAAATATGATTTTTCGATATAAATAAATTCAAATATTCCTATTCTCGTGTAAAGATTTATGTATTTCTGTGAACAACAAAATACTGGAATAAAAGTCCACAGAAAAAACAAATTGATTTACATTTGATTATTATTTGGACTTTTATTAATGACTAAATCAATGTGCAAATATTACTGGAGTATTAATAATCATATGTTTGTTTGCAATGCCTATGCAGATAAGCGCAAGAAAACAAAATGCATTTATGAAGCCTATCGCTGAAAATGCTTTTAGAGGTTCAAAATTAATGATTAAGTTTAATGATAACCAAACTCCAAGTTTTCACGAATCGTGTCACACAATACACACACAACTTCTGTGATCACAATATATAAGCAAACATTTTATTTATTCAAACTAATGGAGAAATTTAACGCTTCCTTCACTTGATATCGAAAATAATATTTTCTCGCACCAGATATTTGACCAGTTTTTGTGTAATACTATTCAGCGGAGATAATACAGAATTCTTGATTTGATCTCAAATTCTTCACACATTTCTTATTACTGAGCGCTTATGTTATGGAGATATGGATATGGACTGCACTATACATGAGTTGTTTTATTCTTTTAGTGCCAGAAAAACAGGAATACTTTTAAAAACTTATTTCGACGGCTTTTATTGATCTTGACTTAAGTCTTACTTTACTGGAGTGTAAGTTACGATTGAGTGACTAATACATTGTCTTTATTTAATATAAACTCAATATAACACCAGAGCTCAATATTAATTTATTTTCATACTTATTAGGGAAAGAATGTTAATATTCTTATTGTTATAAATGCCTAAACAAATGAATGACTTTGTGACGAGATGATGGTTTGATAGATTACTTTCTAATAATTTATTGCCATTTTTTGAATCCAAATCATGAATGGATGAGCTGTTTTTGCACTAAAGCTATGTATTGATTGATAACTACTAATAAACTGTGATTTCAATACAAAGTTTGAATTTTTCAAACAATTTGTGTGAAAAGAGACACAATGAGAAAGATTAATGTATAATCTATTCTCACGAATACGACTATACCTCCGAAGGGAAACAAATTATACAAAAAAATTCTGATGCCTTTGAATGCATCAGAATTGGGGAAAAGTCTAGATTTGAGCGGAGTTGCCGTCAGTGATAGTGAATGTCATTTATTGAGCCAATGGTTGCATTGGATGCGAGAAACGCCTATTTATTTGCTCCAAAAGCTCTCCATAGATGACGAGTGAAGTGCTCTTTGGATTCCATAACAGAATCCAATGCCAACTGAATATAAGCCATGAATTCTGGGGAAAACACTTTCAATACATAACTTATGTGAGAAAAATGGGATTATTTAAAAGAAGCACTCAATACAGTGTAATGTATTGCGAAACGGAGTAAACCTTTAAAGAGAGCAAAATAAGAGTAAATTGAATGAAGAAAATATCAAACAAAATGAAATTTATATTCTCATTCAATTCGTATTGAAATAAATTATGAATTATTGTTACTATTTATGATGTGATTTAAACTTTTAATTTATTTTCCATTATTCTTGTCATCCGATTCATATCGACTGCTATTATAGCGACAAAACGGGTGAGAATTCCTATGATTTATATACTACTGAATCCCAGACTTGGCTTTTGATTTATTAATACTATTATGAAAACTACTCAAATAAGTGAAGACGAAAGGCATGAGAAATCTCCACAAATTCTTTTAAACCTCTGTTTTCTGTTGTCTTTTTAAGCCATTTGTTATGAAATATGAATTTTTATTGAATTTATATTTTCATCCTTTGATTTAAAATCGCATTCATTTTGCGATAATTGATGTGATTTCGTGTTTGAATCGCTTGTATCGATATATGCATTCTCTATGCGCTCTTATGTCTCCACTAATGCCTCACTCTATCTCTCACTTATTTATGCCATTCATTCGTACGAATAGATTGCGTGCCATTAATTTGATTACTATTTTTTGGGGGAAAACTCGTATTATTTGATTGTATCGGTGAACACTAATGTCTAGCTTTGGTGTTAATAACTAGTTATGTATTGTATGTTAAATAATAAAAAATACATTCAAATGTATTATACAATGAATTGATACGCGAATTCATGGCACCAGTGAAAGCAAGCGTTGTTCACAAGTTTGTTACACACAATACACAAATTCTTTGGGCTCAAGAATGCCATTGAATTTTGCAATACTGTACAATCAATTGCTAGAATTGTATTTCTCATAAGAATATTCTTGAATCCAATTAGCGATGAAAGAATCCAAAGAAGAAGAGGAAGAGAGAAGTGATTCTCCGCCTCCGCTCTCTTCTCTATCCTTAAAAGCGCCCCAAAAGTCATTAGGACTACAACTGACACCAACCGTAACCACATCGCCGGCCACTCCATGCAAAGAGTTGTCGGTCAAAGAGGTCATTAAGTCGCCGCTAAAGAGTCCAAAAAGTCCGACCGATTCGAAGGCCAGTCCATTGCGTTCACCGCCAAAGTTGGCCACTCTTTTGAAGCCATCGCATCAATCATTCCTCGCAACCGCTTTCGCCCGCAATCGCAACGCCAGACATAGCATTGATGTCAGAGCTCTGCCCTCCTATTTGGCCAAAAAACGTCAGTCCACTTTTGGACAATTTCTTTCAGGTATTACATGTTTGTATATTTTCTTAATTGAATTCTTGTTTTGCTTTTTTCTATGTCTCTAATGCAGTCATTTTTTGCTAAGCGTTTGCCATTTACTTAATTAGAATCGTATCCTCATTGAGATTATCTCTGAATTCAAACTCAAACCTAAGATTTTCTTTTCAAGTTAATTGAACTTAACTTATATTATTTCAGTGCTATATTATTAGTTATAATGAGACAACAAAAGAAATTTTAAATTAAAATTTAATCACAAGGAGAGGGATTGAAAGTCGAGACGAGACAAGATTTGTTAGTAGAGTACAGTATAATAATATTATTTCCTGTCGTTTCTTAACTCTTGACTCTAATTGTTGACAAAAATATCTTAATTATTAAATATAGATAAATATAACTTGAAATGAATGAAACACTTATTTTCTATGATATGTTACTCAATGGCCTTAATGCGAGCCAAAGACAGACAAAATTATTTATTAGATTAATATCTTATAATCGATGTTCAAATAAAGTATATTATGCTGTAGTTTATGAGCCAAACGCTTACGAATCCAAAAATAAATTACATTTGCTTTTAGTTTCTCTATCGAAAGTCTCTTTTATGTCTCTTGGGTTTAATATTATTGAATAAAACGTATATTTATTATATAAAACTTCACTTTTTATGCAATTTAGATGTATATCGTCATTGGACTCAAAGATCTATCCTTTGAATCAAATGTTGTGTTTTTAAGTCTGTGCTCAACATTTGACCCAATGATCATTATTATAGATTATTATATATTAGTCTCTTTCATAAGTATTGTATTTTTATATTTTCCCATCCAATCAAACAAAATCACATCATTTCCCTTAGAAATGGTATTTATTGTGTTGTCTTTAGTTATTATATAAGTCTTGAAAAAATAATTTCATTTTATATTAGATAAAGTGTTTCAAATAAATCACAACTCGCAAAAAACATTTTTTCTATTAAATAAAAATCAATGTTTCAAACGGTTTTGACAATTAGTGAGACAGTAATAGTGAGTACGGTTTGATTTATTTGATATTAGATTAAAACTTATATTTAGCGTTGGAGTAGTCGTGGGACCAATTAATCCACTTTTGCCACAAAACTTGACCACAACTCGTCTTAACATATAATTATTCTTTGCTTTCCTATCGAATTACTCTCCAATGAATTGCTCTCTTTTATCTTAAATTTATTTTATTTTCATTTATATATTCATCATTTAATTCATTATTAATGCTAACAAAAGCATTTATTTCATTATAAATAAGAACACTTAAATCTTATTTATTTTTATACCATATTTAATAAATTTCATATAATAAGTGATAGTTTAAACGGTAAGTTTTAGATAATAAGTGATGATAGAAAACAAAATTTCATTTAACAAATGAATTATTATATCGTTTGTTCCAGTTTACTCTAATGCTAATATATTTTGCTTATAGTAACTCTGTAATACACTGCGATAATCTATAATTGATTACCTATTTTACATTATAAATTACTAAAATTTTAAATCAGATAAATTATTGTTAAAATTTAATGGTTTGCATCAAAACAAAACAAAATTTATTTAACTAACACACTATGAATCATATCATAGTCCATGATATAGCGATTGCCACTTTTATAAATATTTCAAAACAATGTTTTGACGGAAACTTTTTCTCGTATCTATTTATTTATTATTCCATTCATTATTTTATTATCAAACAAATTATACCACATTATTTTTATGTAAATAGTTTTACTTTGAATAAAGTC